AACATTTGTGTATAACTTCATGAGAAAACAATTCTTCCTAAAATCATGCGAGTTGGGATTTTGTGCTTAGACTCGGAGAGCAGAAAGAGAGAGAGAGATTTCTCCCTTAGTAATTCATCTCTTAACTCAGTAAAAAGTAAAAAACCTCACTTTTTCGCAGCAATTTCACTGGAGTTTTGTATAAATTTCATGAGAAAACATTTCTTCCTAAAATTTCACGAAAACCTGAACAATTTTTTCTAAAAATTTGTGTATAAATTTCATGAGAAAACAATTCTTTCTAAAATCACGCGAGTTGGGATTTTGTGCTTAGACTCGGAGAGCGGAAACGAGACAGCGCTTTCTCCCCTCACTTTTCCCCTTCGACTCTTCTCCAGCTCCCACCCTCACCTCCAACTCCAAGAAGCAGCCAATCCAGCAACCCGTGCCGCGGCGCCGCGCCGCGCGGATGGCGGGTGGCAGCGGCGAGGGCGCCGCAATGTCGCCGCCTTCCTCCTCCGGTGTTGGCGGCGGCAGCGGTGGCGGAAAGCGCGGGAGGGATCCGGAGGAGGACGTGTACGTGGACAACCTCCACTCCCACAAGCGGTACCTCAGCGAGGTCGGCGCCCCTTCAGTCTCCATGGCTGTGCCTCCCCTTGGTTCTTGGTTTGGGCCTGAATCAGTTTGGGGAAACGGTTTTCTGTTTCAGATTCTGGGCGGTTTCTAGCTTCCATGAACAGAGTTCTTCTCTCGTTGCGTCGATTAGCGAATCCTTTGATCCGTGATTTTTCCACTAGGAGAGAGACGGGCTTCCTTGGTTTCTGGCGCTGAATTTTGTTCTTGCTGATCTCTAATTCTGCTTCTTACAATTTGTGCTACCAACTCGTTTCAAATAGCTTCGAATTCTTGTAAAACTGTACTGAATATTGTTGCTTTATCAGCTGACCGTTGGCTGTGATAATGCAGATAATGGCGTCCAGCCTGAACGGGCTGTCTGTTGGAGATTCGCTTGCCGACAACATCATGGAGTCCCCTGCGAGGTCGGAGAGTTCCTCTTGTGTCAGGTTTGTGTGCTCTGATTCCGTGTACATTTCATCATGTTTACATCTTTGCTCCTTGTCGAAAAGCGGGTCTCAGGAATCCAAGATATAGATATCATGTATACTCTTTCGATCTCGTAGTATCCAGTAGGATTACTATCAATCTATTATTTTCCAAATTCAGCAGCTAATGTAGGGCCTCTTTGATTCATGGGAAAAGTGGAGGAAAATATGTAATAGAAACTTCCTTTCGTGACATTGTTAATACATTTGATTCAGAGGATTTTCACATACGAAAAATGGAGGAATTTTTCCTTTGGTGTGATTTTCGAAGGAAAAACAAAGGAATTTTACCATCCACTCAAACTTTTTTTTGCATTTCTATGCACAAAGAACAAGGCAAAGGCCATAAGTTGCATATAAAACCAATATGATATTACCTTTGCATGTAGTTTTGATTTGAAGCTTCTTAGGATTCCTGTGTTTTTAATATTCCCTCGAATCAAACACCCAATTCCACAAAATTCCCGTGTTTTCACAATCCTCTGTTTTGCACGTGCAATCCTATCACATTCTTGTGTTTTTCATATTCCTATTTTTTTCTTGGAATCCTGTGAATCAAAGAAGCTCTATTATGTGAGAGGAGGAATGAAATATTTTTGTGGTTCCCTATCTATTTCAGTTATAATATGCTCATCTTTTGCCTAAAAGTGATCTATTATTCTATCTTATCCATACAGTTCTCTATAAATTTGTAAACACCCTAATTTTCTCTTTAATCTTTTGAGAAACACGGTCAATATCCTTGGGTTTCAGATTACGACAAACAGGGCTGGTGTGGCCTCTGTTTCAAATATTTCAGCAATTACTTGACCATAAATAAAAAATTAAGATTTGGGGATAGTAACTCCGGTGTGGTTTCTATTACATTTAAAATAGTGAGGGTATCATTTTCATCCATTCAACCCTTTCTCTAGCTTATCTAAAAGTTATGTTTACGATATTGCTGCATTTTCTAGAACAGCCACCACACTATAATATTTTATAAGATGACTAGCATAGTTTGTCAGAACTCCTTACAAAGTTCATGCTGATTTTCATAGTATGATTAAGCATCTAGGAATTAATATTACGTGTAACGGTACGGTTGGTTCTAATGTATTTGTAGTACAATTGTATTCCGAAGGTTATGTAATACACAGCATGAACAGTGAATAATCTGGACAAAGTCTTCCATCTATATGCTTATGACTAATCTGGAGCTTTTGGATACAATCTGATTCTTCTACTTTATTGCTCGATGATTGCATCCACATGTAAGCATTTAACTTACTGAGTCATTATAAGCATGTTCTAGAACATGTCAAGCTATCATGATATAATTAAGAATATTACTTAAGGAATGCTTCTGAATATTGTTGTCCACAGTGTCTTCTCGCCAGACGCTTATCCATTTAGGAGCCGTGGTCATAAGCAGTCTGCTTGAGGATAGAATACTTATATAAGTATATGCGTTCCGTCTGTCTTGATACACTTTGGAACCATCAAAGATCAATTATTGCTTGTTTGTTAGTTTTGGCAGGTCTTTTTTTCTTTTCTTGAATCCGTCTCTTTATATTTGATACAATTGATTGCGGGGCTTATTTCAGTAGGTATAATAGTGCTGCTCTTTCTCAGCAATTATATTTCTTATGGTGCACACGTTATAATGTGTTTTCCTATTTGTCACTTTCAGGGACGAAATAATCTCCCAATACTCACCAATGTCAGAAGACTCAGATGACTACCGGTACTTCGACACACAACTAAACCCCAACGGGAGTCAAGGCGATGCAATGGTCAGCCCATCAACTAGTCCAATGTCATCTCCTCATCGGTTCCAGAAACCGCAAGCTGGTTTCCTACCATCAAGCCCATATCCTCTCCCCAGCTGCTCCCTCTCATCCGTAGCTTGCTCTCACCCTCGACGTGGCTCCGAGAATGAAGGCCGGTTCCCGTCTTCACCCAATGACATGTGCCACGGCGCAGACCTGAGGCGAACCGCGCTACTGAGGTCGGTGCAGATGAGGGTGCATGGTCCCCATGCATACGACCCGTCATTCGGCAGCCGGCAGGAGCAAGAGCATGTCCATGAGCATGATGATGAACATGGTCATGAACATCTGGAAGATTTGGGAGGGCCGGAAAGACCATCTTGCAGGAAATCAATTGATAATGAAGCTAGTGGCTACCAGGGGGCTGAAAACAGCTATGGGCGGCAGGAGCGCGATATTGATTACATCGGCGGCTGCACAGCTGATGATGTCTTGAGTGGCCCCAAGTTCAAGCAAGAAGATGATAACCAAGGTAATTCTGACGCCAGTATGGATAAAACTAGATAGATACTATCAGAGTGCAATCACACAATGCAGTTGTTGTAGTATTAATTATGGCAATGGGAGATCAGGTTTTTTGCTGTTGTAATTTTCTATGCTGTTAGATTTGTTGCAATCTGGCTGTTTTCGGTAATCTTGAAATTGTGGCATTTGAGTACCTGTCTGCTGTTTGAACGAAAAAGTCCACAATGGGAGATCAGGTTTTTTGCTGTTGTAATCTTGAATTTTTTTATAGCAATGGGAATTTTCTGAAAGCATCCAGCTCGTCTCTCTCCCTTTGCCGTCTCTTGTACAACAATCTCTTCAAAGGGTAGTTCTTAGATTACATAAGTAGTTTCTGTACAGTTTATGTGATTTTCTGCAGGTTTTTCTAGTTCAGATGTGTAGTTTCTGTACAGTTTATGTGATTTTGGACTATGAAATGATTCTGATGTTCCCATACGCAAAGATTTGATGTATTTCCATGGAACCAGCTAAAGATGTGTCCATCAATCATCACTAGAGTTGCTGTAAAGTTGTTTTTCTGATACAATTACATTTATTTTGCGAAAATCAGATAACACCCGAATGAACAACTTCCAGGTACTAACTGAACTTCGGGCTGTTCAGCTATCCACCAGCTCCATGGAATTATAGGATCTGCAGAGCACCTATTTTCCAGCTCCACTATTTTAGCCTGCAGCTCCGCCAACTCCGCGAGCTGAGTCTGGAGCGGAGGGACTCCGAACACTCCCTCCTTGTCAACATTTTGAGACATTCCGTTACACTTCCAGCGGCTACATTACGTTTTTCCCAAACAAGGTTGTACACTGTTTAAGAACGAAAATGCTATACTCACGGACTAATACGGGCTCTTTCCTTCTCCTTCTAATTAAACTTGCCCCCCTATTTTCAGTTGGGTGGGGCCCCTCGTCCTGATTTGCAGCCAATTAAAAAAAACACCTAAGACTCTCCGTGAAACCCCGTAAAATTGTTGCCCGTGTGTGTAGCATTGCCGGTTTAAGAATTATATTTCGCTATTGCCATACCATCCTGGAACAGCCCCAGTGCATCATGAGTGCAACGACCTAGCTTAATTCATCGCTCCATTCCCCCAACTACTCGTGGCGATCCATTCGAGGAAACGCAATACAGCATGCGATACAACTGTCTGTGCCGATCCCTATGTGGATCGACGGGTCTGATAACGGTACCATATATATATATAGTATATGACTCATATTGAATTTTTGCGAAGTAGAACAGTTAGCAGTCTGTTGAAATTGGAACGTTCAAGTGACAACTCTCTCCTCAGACTGAAAAAACACAAATGGCAGATTTATTAATGTCATCACCAGTTGGTACTGTTTGTTCTTGAGTAAACCCTTTTACTGCTAATAAAGTGAAACCCTGTAACCATAAAAGCTAACGGCAGAGAAAACAGATATCAGATGTTGTTCAACATTGAACCAGAACAGATAATCTATCGCCGCTAAACTTTCACTGCCATCTCTCTGATCTCTATTTCTCTCTGTCTTCCTTCACTTCTCTCTTGTGGCAGGTGGTACTGTTGCACTACTGACTACACCCCAACAATGGCAGGGCTGGGGCACGTGGGTCATCACCATTAAGAGGAGAAGGCTGAAAGAATGTTCTTCTTGATGGCGAATTCATCGGCTTTGGAAGGACTGATCGACTGTCATGTTATGAAACAGGAAATTAGGTCATAAATATGGAGATCAAGTAAAAATAATGTGATAAGAATCAACTTTCTTGTTGCCCACCTTCTCCAACAAGCGATGAAGCCTCTCAGTTTCCTTCTTGGTATAGTCAGAGCCCTTCTGCAATATCTTCTTTGCAACATTCACATAGATCTTTCCGTGCCTGGTTTATAGAAGAAAAATGTTTGAGGGCATCAATGGCATTGCTACTACTAACATTAAAATAAAATCTGAGAACAATTTGATAACTTGCAAACACAGTGGAGGAGAGGTAGAAGTTAGTACTTGACAGCAGGACCACTGAGCTTCGCAGCCTCCTCTTCAATTTTAGAGAGGATTTCCTTCCGCTTGTCATCAGCAGCACTGTGAAATTCCTTGACAAGAGCATCCAAACTTGCCACAAGCCCAGCCTACAGAAATTGCAACGGATAGGCTTTATCAGATTATTACATTTTACCCAGCTTACTTCCATAGTGTGCTCTCATGTGTGACCAACCTCTGAAGTAAGCTGACCCTTCGAATCACGGCTAGTTCCACTTTTCTCATTAATGAACTTAACAAAGTCATCTAACTCCCGACCGCTCTCATACTCTTCACCAGCTTTGTTACCCTTCGGGAAGAACTTCAATGTGGGAAAACCAGAAACTCCATACCTGAAAGTAATATACACGATTAAAATTCTTCTTCCATTATGTGGTTAAATATCATGCATAACCAAAATTGGTAGGTAAGTCAGATTAATGTGTTAGATTTAACAGGTCTTCCATTTGGGTTCATTCAGGAAAACTTCACGAAATTACATTAAAAAAAAGGGAGACCAGTCTACAAAAGTCATTAGAAGTTTAGAACAGAGAATTCAGAGTGCATACTTCTCAGCCAAGCTTGTGTATTTGTCAGCATCAAGATTAGCAATCACAACACCCTCATCTTGCTTGAAAACAGAGGCCACCTTCTCATATATCTAAGAAATTACAAACTTGAGTTAGAAAGCTGAAAAATGAAGATGCATGACATTTCTTGTATGAGAAAAGTATATTATTAAGGAAATTGCCAGGTTACTGAGATCTACAACTAACCGGAGCAAGACTCTTGCAGTGACCACACCTGTCAAGCAAAAATGGCACTTGATGAAATTATGTCCATTAAAGTGGTGCAATGAAGTAGATTTTGGTGCATAGCAAACTGATCATAATAACCTACCATGGGGCATAGAACTCAACAAGGACATCTTTGGTTTCATCAAGGACAACTGAGTCAAAGGTTTCCTCGGTCAGAACCACAACACTTGAAGGAACTGCTGCTATCTTCACATTGGTTGCTGAAAGACAGATGTCAAAGATTAAAGGACCACCATGAAGTTATAAGGCTAGTAACACTCAACAGGACTAAAACGAAAATGAGAGACACCAACATATACATATAAATATAATGATGCTACACAAGTAACTCCAGCAGCCTTTCCAGTATTAACTGTTAAGTGTATAACTGAAGATGAATGGTACCAATAGCACATGCACAAGTGACAAGGGGGTCAAAGGAAGTGCCACCACATTGCTTAAGTGCTAATAATTGTCTAATTTCTACTTCAGTGTGATGCTTATCTTCCAACTTAGTTTTCCTGTGGTGAAACCTTAAATGTTCTACATAATCCATTAAATGGTCATAGAGAACCCGACTGACTTGAAACCCACCTAAGACAGCATGGCTGGAAAATGTACTACACCACAAGTTGGAGTTTACCTGCTTCAGAGTTAACATATTCTGTAAGGGCTTCAGCAGTGCGTTGACCCTCATACCTAAACAATGAGTTCAACATTAAGTTTTCAGATTTTATTTTATAACAAAAAGTGAATTGATCAAAAACAAAGTGTGCATTCTCACTTCTTGGGCTCCAAGGAACCTTTGGGAAACCACTGGATTGTGGGGTAGCCAGAAACTCCATACTTGCTGCACACACTCTTGTGCTCATCGCAGTCAACCTGGATAGAGAGAAACTTGGTAAATATGCCATAACAAATACTATGCAATTTAGAGGCTAATAACAGTATATGTTATACAGTTGTTGGCAAAAAAAATGTTATAGCATTAATGTACAAAACACTTTCAAAAGCACGAAATTTACCTTGGCAATCAAGACTGATTTAGCCTTTTTAAAACTTGCAGCAAGCTTCTCATATTCCGGAGCAAGCTTCTTGCAGTGGCCACACCTATAAAACAGAAAACAATCATCAAATAATGAACCAAAGAGTAGAAAAGTACAGTCATCTAAGGAAGAAATAGTTTTTACAAACAAGATAATAAATATGAGACTAACAGAAATAGTAGACACGATTTTAAATGCAATTGCCTCTGATCAACTAGGATTGGTTCGTATATTGATAATATTACTTACCACAACTATGAATAATTTACATGGATCACTTGGTATGATTTGCAATCCATCAGTTGATAGCTTGGTTTAAGCTTTTCCTCGTTACAATAGATTATTGTTTTCATACTTGCAATGAATTATTACTGTTGATTTTGATGCACCAAACAAGTCACCCATAAGCCTGAGCTGGTATTGAAAGATGGGTTTTGAGCTCAACAGCTCTTGGCTTTGATAATATATTCAGTTCGATGCACCAACTGATTCACCGACAAGCCTATGGTATAAGGTAGAAAATATAGTTCAACACTTACTGGAACAACCCAAGTAGTAAAAAACTTAAGTTCATTCTGACACACAAAGCAAATAAGCATTCTACCATTGAATATGATCCAAAAAAAAACCCACCAGATATCTAACAACATCAAAGATGACCCTTAAAGCGGACGCTTTACTTGCTATGACAATGCGCATGTAAGCCAAAGATGCATTAAGATCACCACAAAATAAGATTTGATCGGAATCTACTACGGGTAGACCGTTTCTACTCTCGTACCCAGATTTTTTTCAAACAAATCTGAGATCCAAAAACTGGGATCAGAATTGCAGCAAAATTCTCAACAGGCTAATACCAATTCCAATTCTGGTGCACGCCAAAAGGAGATCAAAACAGTTCCGTCTGCCAGCGTGAACAAGGCAGATCGTTTGTTTTAGCTAAAGATCCCGATATTTTCCCACTCCAACGGGAGTTCGGTCCGGCAGCATCTAGACTGCTCTACTCCGAGCTACAATTTCGCTACGATCCGTCCCAGCGGCAACCCGTGCACGATCCCATCAGAGATCCGAGCTCTGCGACCAGGGGAGGAAGCAAAGCAGCCACGGATCCAGATCCAAGCGGCTCACGCGCAGGTCAAACTACACAAGTACGTCGTGACACGAGGAGATAGGGAGGGCAGGGAGAGCCACGGACCAGGGAGCGTAGAACTCGACGAGCGCGCCACGGTCCTGGCCGACCTCCTTCTCGAAGGTGGACTCCGTGAGGGCGAGCACCTCGTCGCCGTCGGCGGCGGCTGGGTAGAGCGCCGCGGCCGCGAGCAGGAGTAGGACGGGGAGGAGGGTTTTGCGGTAGATCTGAGGGGTCGCCATGATCTGTTTTGCTGCGAGCTCGGGTGACCGGGGTGAGCAGGTTAATATACGGTTGGCACCTGTTCTTCTTGCACTAGTAGTTGGTGGGCCCACGGCGGGCCCGATTCGATAGAAGGATATAATTTCATATCATGTTTATTGTGGAAAGTATTTAATTTTCAGATTTCCCTCAAACTTTTTTTAAGTTTTCAGATGTCCCTAGAAAAAATAATTTTCAGATAAATTTATTATCTTCTAGAGGGAAAATATATACATCTAATAGTCGGTATAAATGTTATAATTGATATGAGATGTATAAGCTTTCGCAACGAACGCTTTGGCTTCCTAGTGTTCCACGTCACACAAATGTCGCGTTTGCTCGTTGCCGTCCACACCTGAATGCTCTCGTACGAGCGACTCTCCACAGTGACCTTATCTTTCTCCCCTATTTCATCATCTCCACTCACTTCTACGATGTCCCTCGTCGACACTTCTCTTTACTCCCCGTCACTGTGCTCGCGCACCTCCGTCCCCGCCGCATTCATGTATCTCCACCTCTGTCGCGCAGCTTTGCATTTGCTCCCGGCTCCATCCCTTTCCTTGTCGGTGATCATGGGGATCCAGCGTGCACTTTCTTCGCCGCTCACGTGGCCCCGTCCTTTCCTTCGTCCTGTGAGTAGGAGCAGCAGAGGTTTTGTGTGCGGCCGCATGATGAGGACCTATGGAGGTCTCGTGACGGTCGTGCTATAAGAAGCATTGGAGGTCCTGCAGGTGGACGTGTGGGAAAGAGCAAGGCGCCATCCGACTTTCGTGCGGCTGGGCCTGTGCCGGTGGACCCGGCAGTCTACAGTCGCCCTGTGATCGGCATCGTCACGCACCTGGACGACGATGTGGCGGGGGGTTCAACAATGGCACCTCTTCCTCCTACATCGGTCCATCGCTTGTCAAGTTCGTCGAGGCCAGCGGCATCCGCGTCATCCTACTCACCTACAACGAGCCTCTTCGAGATCTGTGCACTACTGTAGGATGCTGCTAATGCGACACTACGATCAGAGGCCCTTCGACAAAACTATGTGCGATGCAATAATCGCAAACGGTGGTGTAAAAACCGTCAAAAAAGGTGCAAAATGTTTGCGATGAAGGATGCATCAAACAAAATTCAGATTTAAGTTGCGTGTGTGATGCAAGGCATACGGTTTAGTTTAATTAAGCGTTTGCGATGAGGAGGAACAAAAGAAACGGGCAGCCAGATTAAGGTGTGTGTGATGTACAACATACGGTTCACTCGGATGAACAGTTTGTGATTAGGCAACACAAAAGAAACGGTCAGCCAGATTAAGGTGTGTGCGATGTACAACATACGGTTCACTCCGATGAACTGTTTGTGATTAGGCAACACAAAAGAAACGGTCAGCCAGATCAAGGTGTGTGCGATATACGACATGTGGTTCACTGGGATGAACTGTTTGTGTTGAGACAAGAGAACAGAAACGGTTCAATATAATAAATACCATGAAGATTGCAAGGTTCAAATTCAAAGATTACAATGCCCAAATTCACACATTGCATACTTCGTCATTTCTGCAAAGGGATCAGTCGCTGACAAGTCATGTATGGGTTTGACACAATGACTTCCAAATTACTCTGTCATATGCTCTTCCAATACGAAGTTTAGCTTTTTTGGAGCCTCTTCCATTCTGCAGTACCTGCCGGCTCTGATCAACATACCATTCATCTTTCCTAATTAAATGCGTGTTCAACCTCAGTACCCTCAACACCCTTTCTCTGGCAAGAAAGAACCTGGCGAGTGTAATCTCCGGTAAGGTCCCTCGGTAGGAGTTGAAAGTAATATTTGAGAGATGCAGATCCAGGCATTCGATGTGATTGTCGTTATAAACATTATCCACCTACATGCCTATTATTATCTACAAAAGAAGAGAACGTGTTAGTGCCTGCATGCAGTTTTGAACACTACTACAATCTCTACTCCTAATGGAGCAGTTGGTAGTCTCGCTTCCAGGTTTTTTTTAGTCCCACCTCCTATGATTTTTTTGGTACATCCTCCCACCTTTGACTTAGCCACCACAAACCGAAAAAACCTCGTGCTGAGACCCCAACCCGCACCCATGCACGTACGACCGAAAAAAGACCTACGAAGGTTAACCAACGATAAAAGACCTACGAAAATTAACCAGCGACAAAAAAACCTAAACCTATCGCCCGCACGTACGAGGTGAAGGAGCGACGACCCCTGGATCTATCCGCGACGCGAACGCCGCCGCCTGGCAGATCCCAGGCGCTAGCCGCGGATCCCTTTGCCGGCTCCGAGGGGTCGTGGAGGCGGCGCCGCCATCGTTGTGGACCTCTGGGTCGCCATCTGGACACCTCTGCTGAGGTACGCCTTCGCCTTCGCACGCCGCCGACCTCCCAGAGGAGACGCCGCCACGATCTGCGCTAAACCCTAGGCATCAACCACCATGCTCCCGTCCTCCGGTTCCTCCTGCGTTCGCCACCATGCGATCGCCTTCCTCCCTCAGGTTCATCTCCCCTCTTTTCTCTATTTAGTTCAAGACGGAGAGAATCAGATCAGGATAGAGAGATGGAGATGAGGATTGAGGCCATGGGATCCCTTTGTGATTGCAACTTATACATGAGCTCAGTTTAGACCCCTTTGCTAGAAAAAAGAGTGCTGCATACAACAATGATCTTATCTAGATTAATGGTTCTCTGATTATTCTTTTGATTCTGAGTCATCAATGTGTTTTTATTGTAGGTTCTTGTACGGAACATACCACCAGACCCTGATGAATCAGATAGCAAGCCTGTGGAACATTTCTTCCTTGTCAATCATCCTGATCATCATCTGAAACATCAGGTAATCACTAAATTTTGGAACATCTCTCATTTGAAGAATCATCTGCAAATTCAAATGTAAGGAAGTGTGCAGTGCAAGCAATTATCAGGGTAAATCTATTTCTCAATTATGTATTTTTACCACTTCATCAGGAGTGTAAACTGATAGTATTTCCAACTACAAAGTGTTGGCTGCCCAGGAAGAAGGAAAGGTCAGTCCAGACATGACATTTAACTATAATAATGGAGGTATGTAGTGCCTACTGCTCCCTTGTCCCTTGCTACCGGCTGGGGATGCTCGGCTCGCCAGCGATGGGGATGCTCGGCGGACAGTCCCTGCTCTCATTTTCCTCCAGCCTCTGGTAACCCTCCTCCTCACCTGCCTCGCTGAAGCGGGATTCACAGGTTAGTTTAGTTTGGAGGGATTTCCTGTGGTTGTGCGTGAATCCAGTGTTCACTGGTCTTGTATGTTTCATTCCTAATATGCTAGCTCCTGCCTAAACACGCATTAGAGAATCTCATGTATGTAACAGAAGATACACAAATGTGGTTTTCCAGGGAGCATCAGGTACATCTTATGTGGGGATGAACCATCAGCTAAAGGGAGTGATAGGAAAATATTTTGTTGAATGCAATGGGAAGGCGAAAAACGACACGCCTTGGCGAAGCAACTCTAAGATTCGGTAAGGCTAATCAAGTCTGCAATCAAATCCAAGAGCAGGGGCAGAGAAAAACATTAAAATACTTTTTAGGGCAGAGAAACGTTAAAATACTTTTTAGCTATTGATTGAAGTAACTGGTAATTAGTAGCAGGAGCAACAATTGTAGTAAGAACCTACCTAGGCATATTTTCTCTCTTTCCTATCACATGGCACATTGAATAACTTTATAGTACAAATACATTCACATATGTTATTTTAAATTATCATGTGATGGAGGTTCTCGTTATTTCGAATCTTTGGTCGGAACCTTCATTTTGTGTTATTAAATGCACATGGTATTCAGTTATCTCCATTATGGTGAGAAGACTTTGATCTTGATATATCAGATTTAAGCCTCCTACACCATAGGAGGTCCTCCTTTTGGTGATATTCACTCATATGTCATTCTAAATTATCATGTCATGGAGGCGATGGGTATTTCAAATCTTTGGTTGGAACCTTCATTTTGCGTTAAATTCACATGGTATTCAGTTATCTCCATTATTACCAGTAGCAATGCACAAGCACTTTCTATTAAATGCACATGCTATTTTCTTTTGTATCATGTCATTTTGTGGTCATTAACAATCAGATGGATGAAATTGATCTTGTTTTGTGCATCATGGATTTTCCTCAACTGAATGAGTAGAAACATAAGTGTGTAATGTAGTAGCCCCTCTATTCCATTGTTATAAATATTATAGTTTTTCAATCTTCTGACCTGATCGTAACAGCTGTTTAAAAGGAAGTGATCACATCACTATTTAGATTTTACTTTTTTGTATGCTTAAACATAAGATTAGTTTGTCCCCTTTCTTTTTACCCTTCATGCTAACATAATAAATACATATTTGAACTGAATCGGTTGTATTACATATGCCACGAAGGATGTCGCTGCTTGAAGCTCAATTTCCATCAGCCCCTCTTTTAATTCACTTGCATTGTTTCAGCTTTGCATTGTACTTCTTTGACGAATTACCTCATCCAATCGGCTTTAATTCGGAGCGTCAGTCTTACTAATTATCATTGCCTTAACTTTTCATATGAACCTCTTACAGGAAACAAGGACTCCTATTTGTCTGTAGTACTGCCCATGAGACTCAACCTTGTTTTACCTTAATTATCATGGTGTGCCTGTTTTTAGAATAGCTCACCATTTTGTTAGTGGCAATAAAATGCATCTTTAGGCACACCTATAGCGCACATGTGATGATGTACAGATGAAAGAAAGATCTTAGAAGTTGAGAAGCCGAGAGCTGGAGGAATAAGGAGAAGCTAAAAAGACAGAAGAAGTCAGAGCATGTGGAGCTGTTGGGCAAGCAGAGTTCTATCTGGGTATTTAGGTAGATGAGGATAAAAGGGAAAAGGTAAATGTTGACGATATAGCTACTCAATGCTGAGAATGTTGCCTGCATACTTTGTTGCCTATATATCATTGGCTTTGTATTGATCCAGGCAAGAACAATCAGATGGAACAAGTTTGCTACGGGTGGGTGTGCATCAAGTTGCTTCGTTGCCGGCGGCGAGTAATCTCACACATGTTTATGGTGCATATGTACCGGAAAATTCAAATGGTACTACCCGATGTGCCTTTCATACGAAACAGTTTATGCTTATGGGTGTTCATCTTTGTTTCTGTATACAGCTTACGGCTTTTTTGTTGATCCCTTCCCTGTAGGTTCTGATCATACGTACGAGGGGAATCAGGTAGGGCTTGATGCGCCTTTCATACGAAATGTTGATGAGAATTACCCAAGTAGTCCAAGTATGAGGCTGTGCGGATATAGTAATCATAATTTTCAGTGGCATCGGCATGTTCTAATAAATAAGATGGGAAGTTCAGAATAATGTAACATCGGCATGTTCTAATAAATAAAATAAGAGAAGGTTGGGTATACTGAAGCAGACCCCTTATAATTATGAACGGTTTATAAAGTTGAAGGATGAAACTTGAACGAACACAATTCTGAGGTTTGTAAAGTGAAGCCAAAGACAAGTTCGAGGGGTAATGTGGACTTCTCTCAAACTATATTATTAGAGGACAATGAGGGTCTTGAAGACAATGAAAGCGATCAGTTTCTGCTGGTTTTGTTTTGTTGTAGGCGAAGTTCTTAATTATAATTATCAATGTGTTTGTTTTTCTTAAGGACGCAGTGACATGCAAGGCGAGGGAAATTGAAGCCAAAACATGCAGGACGGCCAGGAGTGTGCCATTTTTTCTATGACAGGTTAGTGATTTTATCCTTTTTGTATTTTTTACATTGCTAGGTACAGTAGTTTATATGAAATGATTTGTTAATGGTAGGGGGTGGTTCTTCAATCTTCAGGGAATCAAGTGGTAGCATCAGATACTGACATGCATGGAAGGTAGCAGTATATGTATTTGTAGCAAATCATCATCGCCCATAAATAAATCATCTCTTGCCCGCTTCCTCTGTCCGGTTGTCAACTCAAATTGCTTTGGTTCACAAGTTCGTTTCATCGTACATCTAGGTACACTAGAACTGAGAGACTACTTTCCTTGAATGGCTCATGCGAGTAAACTGACAATAGTATTCATCCAAGATGCAGTAGTATATGTATCTTCATAGAGATGTAGATGCATAGATAGTTCAATAGTGCACATGTTCATTGACAGGGATGTAGATGTAGTATACAACCGAGGTTACATTGACAAGTTGGTCCATGATGCTCCCAGGAAAAAGAAAATATGATATATTGTTTCACACTATCATCCATAGTGAAACTTGTATTTAATATTTCTTTGTTTTGCAATGCTGAATATTTTGGGAACACACAGTAAGATGTAATCTACGGATTCACCAAATCAGCTTGAACATTGTTATCATGCTTCGTATGATTTGGTAATGATTTCAGAACATGGAATGGGGCAAATAAAGTTGAAACCATGTACTGTTCCTCACAAAAAAATAGTTAATGTCGAGAGGTTTCATACTGACATTATTTCTTACCAACTAATGGTGCATTACTCCTGCCATGATAACAGCAGCTAACTACTCCATGATCACAGCAGTAAACATTGATAAGAGTACAAGCATTGGAGGAGTACTCACCACGTTCGAGGAAGTCGTCATCATGGTGGTGGTGGTCGAGGAAGTCGTAGGTGCTGGTGGCATCATCACGGAGCAGTTACCATCTTCTCCTCGACTTAAAATGTAGTACTCCATGTACTCCCACTTGTTAACTTTTTGAAATGCAGATCCACTCCAAGAATGTGCTCTGAAATGGAAGTAACATGGAGTATACTCTAAAAATCAGTATGGTTTGAGCCCACTAGATCAATCAAAGTTCTCCAGCATGATAAAAATAATACTACAGCATGAGTATTACAGCAGAATCAGTTTGGTTTGAGCCAAGCAAGAGTACTAAAATCCTAACAAAAAGAATACTACAACATGACAAACATGATTTCAGAGATGTTGATTTCAGTACTTACAACCCATTGATAAACATGATTTTCAGAAATGTTGATTTCAGTTAAACTACAATATTTACTCCAAGCAAATACTCTAAGAAACAATACTCATGTAGTACAAATACTCTAGGGGGAATGTACTCCTAAGTACTGAAAGTGTACTCCTATGAGTACTGATGATTTCAGAGATGTTGATTTCAGTACTTACAACCCATTGATAAACATGATTTTCAGAAATGTTGATTTCAGTTAAACTACAATATTTACTCCAAGCAAATACTGTAAGAAACAATACAAGTACTCCTACAGTACTGAAAGTACTCCTGTAGTACAAATACTCTAGGGGGAATGTACTCCTAAGTACTGAAAGTGTACTCCTGTGAGTACTGAGTTTACTAAATTCAGAGGCATCAAAATGCTCACACCCAAGTTCAGTCATCTACACATGGAGTAGTGCAACCGAGTGGTCTTTACCATGCCCGAATCGATGAGTGGTAGTGGTAGTAGCAGCCGCATTGTACAGGAGCAGCAGCAGCCTTTCCAATCTACTCCCGCGGCAGAGAGCAGTTCTTGACCACAATACATCTACATCCATATTCCATCCACATCAACAATCACAATCACAATCAGCTCCAAAATCTCTCCTTGCCTTTCCCCGAATCCTAGGCTCCAGAGATTGGAAAGGTGTGGGGAAAATTAAGGATGATAACCTTGCAGGTCAAGCATGGGGAGCTCGACTTCGCGCTTGACCTGGGCGCAGGTGATGGGGCACTCGTAGCGGCGGAGGAGTACCAGCAGCGTCGGAGATGGCAGCGTCCAACATGGCGCTCCTCCTTGCAGGTCGATGGCGGCGAGGAGCGCTAGCATCCGTCGCCGCCTTCCTCGAGCAGGACAAGGCCGCCGTGCCCGCGCTTCTCACGCTCCTACTCGACCTCGCTAAAATATCCAACTTTGGCTCGACTGTGACGCAGAGGATGCGGGCAAGAGGGAGAGGCGACGCAGACGAGAAGGCCCGGTGGCGACGCCTGAGGAGAAGGGCGGCGACGCGGTTGATTCGCCGACGCGAGTGAGGGGGAGGTGCGTCGCCGCCGCGGGCTAGGGATTTGGTGGACTGGGTGAGCGAGGGGAACGAGCGTGAAGAGGCGACTGAGTGAGTGGGTGAGTGAGTGAGCGAGGGGAAAAACTAGAAACCACAGAAATTTTGTAACGTTCCAAGAAATGTACTACAAAACCTTCGACATTCAAAGTACCAACATTTATTTTTTTTATCACTATATTTAAAATAATACTCCCTTTGTAAACTAATATAAGAACGTTTAGATCACTAAAATAGTGTTCTAAACGCTCTTATATTAGTTTACGGAGGGAGTACTAATTTAGGAAATGCAGAAATATGTCTGGCTATTATGTTTTTTATGCTCTGGTGGAATGGTAAAGAATTAGTTCGTCCGGTTAACACCATGAGTATTTTCCGTTGCACATTTTAAGTCCTTCGACATGAAGCTCCGTTACACGTTGCTTGTGCAAGATGCGTATATAAGCTAACGAAGAAGTTTTTTTATTATACTTGCTCAAATATCATGTGAATCAAGCTAAAAACAACATTCATGATATTTTACGAGAATTTTTTTTAACTTTGAAAACAACAGGAGTCTCCTACTATTATATATTACTCAAAATAAAGTACTGGTTAATTACATGGCCAAGAAGCAAATAAAAAGAAAGGAACTATGATTTACAGAGATAGGTTTGGGATAAAGCTATCAAGAAAGGAGACCAATTTAGGATTAACTTTGAATTTGAGATTTTCCAAGTCAGCTTTGAGTGCTCTTTTCCAATCATACAGGGATGCAGCAATCTTGTCAAAGTAGCATCTGTTCCTTTGTTTCCAAATGTTCCAGGCGGCCGGGACTTTGATTGCATTGAACAATAGGTGTGGCCATGAATACTTCACTGCATCAAACATCTCCTGAAGCTCCAAGTTGGTATCCCATTGAATATGAAGGTGCACTCAAAGAATGGGTGTTTGTTCGTTTCTAGTGGGTGTTGCACAAAAGACATGAGTGACTTCAATATCAAAATGTCTCCGGTGGAGCATGTCCCTTATGTTGACTCTGTCCATTAACACCAGCCAGGTGAACACTTTAAGTTTCATGATACACTTTGTCTTCCAGATCATTGTGATGTATGCGGGTGGCTGCAGTTCTCTGAAGAAGAAGTTGATGAATTTCTTGGGCCGAAACTGAACATCTCCCCAACAAGTAATCCATTCATCAGCCATCATTGGTTCCAAGTATAGATCATTCATATGATTCTGCAGATATGTTAATTCATGTAGCGCCTCGATTGATAGAGTGAGGTAAAAGTTTTTAGAAGCCCGTGGTCTATCTTGGAATTGCACTATAGAAATATCCTCCTCCCTTGTGAAAGAGAACATGTGTGGCAGCTTGTTGGAAAGGGGTTCGTCATCGATCAGAATATCTTTTCATAGAAGAATTGTGTCGCCAGCTCTAGGGATGCAAGTTGTAACCCCTTTGTATATGTCCATCAACGAGAACACATCGTTCTGTATATCTTTCCATAAAAGAATTGTGTGAAAATTTCTTAAGCGCAACAACTAGATATTAATTTATAATAGAATTTTAGTTGGATCATCGCTTTATATGTATACATCATTAATTTATTATTCTTTATCAATTTACATTGCAAGTGAATTGGACTACGATAAACACCCGATTGTGCCCATGCTATCTTGTTTCTACATGTGAAATTTGACATGCATTATGTTTACATAATTCCAGCAAAATATTTTCGTGGCACGTGACAAGGCACCGACATTCCCATGCTATATTATCTCTACATGTGAAATTAAACAGTCATTATGTTTATACAACTCAACAAAAATATTTCAAAAGCCCGTGGCAACGCACGGGCACTCTACTAGTCCTATTTGGTTTGCAGGATTTGTAAAATGCACCAACGTGCCATCTTTGATCTGACATGATTAACACAGGCATTTTATTACAATCTAGAAACATGTAGCCTTCTTCACAAGAGGTTTGATTGGATAAAAAAAACCTAAGAAAACTAGTACAAATGAATCCAAAGGAGAAATGCTTATGGATTTTAACCATATGAATCAAGCAACCAATATGGGGTGGGGGGTGTATGTCCTGAAATCCTCCAAAATTCCTTCAGAAATCGTACTAGTACATTGTCATTGTAAACTTGGGAAAACGTGCAAAAATTTGAACTCCCTTGTGGTTAACATTTAACAGGAAAGGAACATCACCTCGATATACAACTTCTTCAAGCACGGAAAGCATCTCAGACAACTAACAACTTGGTCCAGGTTGGGGCCGACAGATTCTAGTGCCAA